CGACCGCTTCCTTGAGCTGCGATCAGTTTCCGGACAGTTCTCTCGGTGGAGCCGCTGGGCCATCGTCGGAGCGGGCCCCGTGGGATTGTGCTTGGCCTTGTCGTTGGCAAAATATCAGATGGATGCTGGGTCAGCAGAGCCGAAAGAACCTCTTATCACGGTCTATGAGAGCCGCTGGCTCGTGCAGTTGGAGGGCGGTGAGTGGAAGCGCAATCCAGCAGTGCGTGCCAGGGACCAGGTGGTAACAGTGCAGGATGCGGTGGTGCAGCTGTTTTCCGAAGCAGTCCAGACTTGCTTTGAGGGGGAGCGCGTGTGGCTTCACTCCCGGAACGTCCCCGTGGCCGAGATTGAGGAAAAGCTGCTTCGCAAGGCGCAGGAAGCCCCCTTCTCCAGGTATATCCGCATCGAGAAGTCACAGCGCTTTACCCGAAAAAAAGACCAAGCTGAATTCATTCAGGCCTTGCCAGCAGATTTCATTGTGGCTGCAGACGGCGCTGCCTCTCTCTCGAGGCGTGCATTCCCAAACAAGTTCGTGTGCCCACACTCGAGGGGCTTTAGCATGGAGGAGCAGCGGATCCGGCTAGCGGAGGCAGAAGATGGCTATGCACATGCAGACCATGTCTTGGGCATCATTTTGCAGCAAGATGCTCACCCTCCCCAGGAGCAGTCCCTGAACGTGATCTTCACCCTCGCACAGAACGTTTACCTCTTGAACTCGCAGAAGGGTTCCAAGGGCTTTCTCAACATCCGCGTGACCAAAGAGGAGTATGATGAGATTTACCGGGCAACGGGCCAGAGAGGCTGCACTTTTGGAAGCCCCATCCAGCTCAAGCTGGAGGAGTCTCTCGATGCTGACGACGTGAATGCGTTCCACAAAGTGAAGCTCCCATGGCTGAGGCGCCGCATCGAGGAAGGCTTGAAACTCTTCGGCATGCGCACGGAGCACATGTTGGGCATCACGGGCTTTCAGCTGATGCCTGCCTATGTTCAAAACTTTTGCCACGTCCTGCCAGGAGAAGTTTGCTCTGACCAGCAGCGGGTGCTGCTCCTGGCGGGCGACGCGGCCATCTCTCACCACTTCTGGCCGGGTCGGGGGCTCAACACAGGCTTGAAGAGCGTGAAGGCCATCGTCCACATGCTGAGGAGTCCGACAGTAACAGAGGGCTTGCGGCGATACAACAGCTTCATGACCAAGCTCCGTGTTCGTGAGATGCAGGGCCGGTCCGGCTCGATGATGCCAAAGTCCTTGCAGTTGGACTGGGGGTCTCAGCTTCTGTCCGACACCAGAAGCGGGTTGATGCAGATGCTATTGGACTGGTGGCACTCGGCCAATACCACAGACGACCTGATCACGGCTGCCAAGACCAGTGAGGCGACTAACCGAGACAGCTTCCTGAAGACTTGTAAGCTTTGGCGTGACTTCTTAGAAAGGCAGCCAGGGTGGAGTCACGACCCGGTCACAGACCATCTCTTACAAACTCGCATCATGACTGCAGTTGCCAAGCCGAATTTTCTTGAGTTGCACATGATGGTCCGCAGTGCCTTCGATAATGGCCCTGGCAGGGCAGCCGGCTGGCCCACTTCATGCCAAGGAGGCCGCGAGGTCGATCCGGCCGATGACCAGCACTGGGCGTAGATGTTCCCTGCCTTTGATCAACCTGCGGCAGCTCCACAAAATTGATTTCTGATTCGTGAGTACAGCCATAGTTGTGCAGTGTGCTCGGGGAGGGCACCACTGCCAGGAAAACCCTGCGAAGCCAGACAAGCTCCTACCGTAGCAGCATCTCCACATAGTGCATGCAGTGCCAAAAAGTTACGAAGATCGTCGCTGCTTCACGGTTCCTGCCAGAAACTCTGGAAGTCCATCCCTGCGAGGTATTTCCACTCTCGCTCTCACTTGGCATTCCTGCTTGGGCTCGGAGATTAGATTTCGAGTTGCTAGTGAGCTGCAACCCCTAAACCGAAAGCCTAAAACCCGAGTCCCAACTAGAGTTAAACCTATATTTTCACATTATAAATAGATTTTTATATACACATACCAATATATGTATGGATGTATGCACATATATATATATATGTATGTGATACATATATATATATATTTATTTATGTATTCATTCATTTATTTAATTATTATACCTATATATATATATATAAACGGTAGTCACAGTAGGAAACCCTCAGATTGTTATTCAGGTAGGCCCCGAGCCCCAAAACCATCCCTTGTCCCCGGCCTGAAGGCGCAGGGCGAGGTTCGTTGTTCGTTGTTGGTTGTTTTGTTTTCGTCGAAGCGGCGCTGCCTCAAAGTCGCTATGGAGTTCTTCCACGCCCGCGCCTGCGGAGACTAACGAGCCGGCGATGCTGTCGGTCAGCGGGCCTCTCGACCGATCGTTTTCTGGTGTTGTATAGAAGGCTGCTACAAGTCTACCCAAAAGGATCTGGTTCTCTTCTTGTTTAGGGCTCTATTATAATTATGATGGCTTCTATCGTGGTTCTGTAAATTTGCTTGCTCTTCTCTTGCTGATGACTTAAGGTTTCAAGGTTTATAGGGGCATTAAGCATACTATAAGGAGCAGACCTTGGTTCGCAGATATAGGATCGTGTCCACCAGCAGCACGTTTGCAGTGAGGGCAAACGATCGTCGGTTTGTCGGTCTGGGGGTTTCGGGATTTGGGGTTCAGACGTTTCGCAGTTTTACGGGTTCAGGGTTTGAGGTTTCCGGGTTATGGGTTTTGGTTGTTCGGGGGCTATAGTCTGCGGTCTAGGGTGGTTTTGGTGGCGGTGGCGGTGGTGGTGGTGGTGGTGGAGAATGCCACGGCGTTAGCAGGAGTGGTTGCAGTCGTCCAAATGGGCCTAAGTTGAAGATGCTGCCTTGTGCTCTCCATCCGCGCATTGGGACGTCGGTCTTTCAATCTCTCGTCAGTAAAAGCAAGCTGGCGGTAACATACAAGTGGTAATGGGCTGACACTTTCCAAGCCGCCGAACATTTCGGCATCTTTATCCATTGGCCAGTGGCGTGACCATCAAAGCATCTACTTGCTGCTGCCTCTCTCAAATCGCAGCCCCTCTCCCAGTAGCAGATCCGCTGTTGGGAACGCTTTGTCGATTTTCGGGAGACTTAGGTAGTTATGCATATTCTGAAGCACTCGCTAGGAAGTCTTCCAAAACGCCAATGCCTTACAAATGTAGAAAACGGCCACCCAGAGCCCTCTTCTAGTTGTTTTTTGAAGGAGAGCTTCTTCTGTGCCCGAACAGACCGTGGCTCAGAGTCAGGCAACCCCAAATCCCCCAACTCTGCAATTAGCTCTATAAGCCCGAAAACACAGTGAAGGCCTAGACTAAGCCTAGACCCCGGAAACCCCGAAGCCCTCAACCAGAAGACCCTTGGGCACTGGGCCCGAAGCCCTGAAGCTCTAGGTGCTGATGCCTTTCCCCCCAAAGGAGAAAGACAGAGAGAGAGAGAG